CAGCCATTATTCACCAAATTAAAATTAAAATTTCGGCCGTTATGTACCAGTTGAGCAGCCATTTTTGACTGCTTGGGAGAGAGGGGGACCCACCTGTTGACTGCAACGGTAACTTTTTTAGTTAAAATCTGATAATAATCGCTGCCAGACATGCTGTAAATTGTAAAATGTCAAAATGCTATTCGTTTATCATGTCTACTAATCGACAACAAACAACCCTCAAATAAGGACAAAGACAAGAATTTGTTATCAATAGAAGTAGATAACGACGAAGCCAAATGTCTAATATCGTTAGGGCATGCATCAGACAAATGAAAATTTCAATTCTTTATTAAAAAATCTTGAATCGGATCGAAACTAATTGGTAAGCATCGACCGGTTCATTTTGATTTTGGATTGGTCTCCGGGTGTGTCCAATGAAAAATGTCCACCTCTAAATTGTTCAATTAATCTTCAATGACAATGAACATTTAAATTCTTATTATATTGACACACGTTTCTGACATGTGTAACTTTGTTGTTTTGTTTCCCTACTTGATTGATGTCTTGAAATTTTAAAATTGACGTGTTTTTATGAGGATTGTGACAAAATTACAAAAAATTGTACGGTTTCTTTTATTGAATACCAATTTGGCGATTATAACAAAAGGTTGAGGATTAACTTTATCTTTTTTAAATGTTAGGGACTAGCTTGCTACTTTGACAATGGTAGGGGACCAATTGATGCAATTTTCAGTTTCCTTTCTGTTAATTATGCACGTGACACGTAGCCAAGAAAAGATCCTAATTGTCATTTTTCTAATTCCTGACTTTTGCACTGACTCACCAAAGCAGGAAAACTTCCCGGGAATATCACCTATAAAAAGGAAGAAAAATGGGGAGAACCTCAAAGGTGTTTTTCCAGTTACGTATTCTTCTTGCTTTTTACATTTGAATTTGACAATTTCCCGGTACTATTCTCTTGCGTTTGCGTGGAGATTTGATTTTTGTGGAGGAAAATTGAGAAAAATTCTTG